AGTTAGTATCAGCTCCTCTACTTCCTTTGTTAGAACTTCATCAGGCAGAGTCTTAAGTTTGGTGGAAAGGAATTTGATTGCTCGTTCTCTGACAATATCTTCTCCTTGAAGTATCTGGCTGAACAAGCCTCCTAAAGTCCCTGGAACATAAGAAAGTTAAGGGCAGCAAGTCAATACTATATTATACACAGAGTAATGATGACTGGCAGTGTAATGAGTATTTCAATTTAACTCAATTTACAGTACAGGCATAACTTGGAGGAGATAATGCGTGTCCAGTTCCAGACAACCACAATAAAGTGAATTATCACAATAAAGCATGCTATAGGAATTTTCTGGCTTCCCAGTGCAAAGACCTAAAGTTGGGGGGGGGGGCCGGGAAAGGGAGACGAACTCGCTCTGTATTTCTCAAGCTGAGAAAACGGAAAAACAAACTCATGCCTTAAGTGGCAATTCTGAGAAAGGCTTTGGGAAAAATCTTGACTGATCCAGGAAGTATCAAAACATGATGGAGGGAATGTACACTGTACCAAAAAGAACTGGTCGACATTGAAATATTACAGGAAGTAGCATATGATCAAGAGCCAATGGTAATGGAGGAAGAAGTTCAAGCTGCACTGAAGGTATCAGCAAAAAAAAAAATAAAGCCCCAGGAATGGATGGGATACCAATAAACATGTTCCAACTAACAGATTCAGCCCTAATGTGCTGTGCTCATCAGAACGTGCCATGAAATTCTGAAGACAGCTACCTCGTCAACTGAATAGAAGAGATCCGTATTTGCTCCCATTCTCAAAAAAGATGATCCAACAAAATGTAGAAATTATCACACAATATCATTAACGTGATATGCAAACAAAGTACACCTGAAGTTCATTCAAAAATGGTTGAAACAGTATATTGACAGAACTGCTAGAAATTCAAGCTGGGTTTAGAAGAGGCTGTGGCACCACAGATATCAATGCTGATGTCAGGTGGATCTTAGCTGAGAACAGAAAATATCAAAAGGATGTCTATTTCCGTTTTATTGACCATGCAAAGGTATCTGACTGTGTGGATAACAAATTATGGTTAAAAGTGAGAAGAACAGGAATCCTAGAATCATGCTCATATGAAACCTATACCTAGACTAAGAAGCTATTGTTTGGACAGACCAAGGGAACACTGCAAGGTTTAAAGTCAAGAAAGGTGTGCATTAAGATTCTATCCTTGCC